ATTAATTAATTATCTTAATTTGTTATGTATATTGTTTATTTAATATTTCATTACTTTATTTAATCACTTATTCGAATACAAAATTAATATTTAATTTCATTTATTTTTTAAATATCTCATTAATTAATTATCTTGATTGGTTATGTATATTATTTATTTCATATTTAATTAGAACATAAATTACACGGTGTATGAGAATATCTAACAGAGATGGGAGTCTAACTTTAGGCACGATCACATTTTCAATACATCGAACATTATTTAAGAATGTCGAAACAATATTTTCTCTACCAAATGAAGTCAAGTGAGAAGTCCCCGATTATAGTATGTTACTCTCTACCCAATGGATGTGTAATATCTATTTAAATCCTATGTACTCTCTATTTATAATGTGTTACTGATTTCCTCAATTTTCTTTATTTATAGTGCGTTATATATTTAATTAAGAGTAATTAGTTATTTATTATACAATTACATAAAAACTAAAGTATTACAAACATTTTAAAAAAATGCTTACATTTGAAATTATTACAATTATGGATCACAATGTACATAAAAGAAAGCTTGCATTTTAATGTGTGTTTTGTTTATCAGCTCTACGCCACGTTCGATGCTAAAAATTCAACGTACTTCAATTAGGACCATCAATGGATTGAATTTTGATCTGAATCCAATGAAATTAATGAGAGATGGATTTAGGGTCTCAATCCGATAACCCAATCGAGATTCGAATTCGATAATTCATTAACTAAGTAAATCAATAGATTGGATTTTGATCCAAATCTGATCTGAATCCGATGAAATTAATGGGAGATGGATTTAGGGTCTTAATCCGATAATCCAATCGAGATTCAAATCCGATAATTCGTTAACTAAATTAATCAAATATAGATATAGGTCAATCAGATCTGATAAATAAATAAAATCTTTATTTTTCTAATTTTTTCAATTTCGGATCGGATATTTGACGACATAGTTAATTGGGTATAGATTTTACATTCAAATATCCGTCGGATTATTTGATCGGATCGGATAGGATAATTATTATCAACGGATCGGATCAGATTTGAGCAGATCCGATCCATATAACGAATCCATTTACAGTCTTAACTTCAATGTGAAGATTTCACAATCGCCCGGGTCGATTTCATGGAAGAGGTTGGGCAACGTACCGTCAACAGATGTTCTCTTCTTTGCCTCAATAGTGTACGGAGAAATAATGTGTTGTGACAGTAATCTAGTCCTCTTGATATCCAAACTCATGACATTATCTGTCAAGTTGGGGGTCCTCTCCAGCATAGTTATGTATATTATTTATTTAATATTTATTTATTTATTTATTTAATCACTGAATTAAATAAAAAATTACTATTTAATTTAATTTCTTATTTAGATATTTCATTTATAAATTATCTTAATTGGCCGTGTAGTATGTATTTAATATTTCATTACTTTATTTAAATAAATTTTACAATGTATACAATTATTTCATAAACAAAAAAATATATACAATTATTACAATTATTTCGTCCCCACCACCGGCACCTCTCTCATCTCCACTGACATCTATAATAATTCTAATGAAACATCTGTATACATTCCCACCATTTTGTCGCCACCCTCACTGTCACCATGTCCGCTACTCTTTGTCACTATATGGGACCCCTATCGCTTGCAGACTGTATCTCCTCGAATATAACTTTGACCCTCCTACTCGATCAACGGTGTCAACTCAGTGAGCAATTCAAGCTGACATATTAACATTTCATCGAGTTAATGACCATGCATCGAGATTTCGAAATGACGTACAACATAAATCACAAATGAATAATATTTACCTCAGGATTGTTGAGGAGACACTACAACAAAAGGGAGTTTTTACGGCATGAATTTACGACATGCCATAAATGCATGCCGTGAAAGAAGACTATTTACGGTATGCACTATATGTATGCCATAAAAAAATCAATAACTTGACGTATTTACGGCGTACATTTGTGTACGTCGTAAAATGTGAATATTTACGGCGTTCCTTTAGGACATGCCGTGTTTGTTAAAAAATTAAATTTATTACGGCGTGTATTTACAGCACGTTGCACGCCGTAAAAAAATACGTTACCTTTTACGGCGTGCATGTGCACGCCGTTAAAAAACTCACTCACGCCGTAAAAGGTTTTAATGGCGTTCACAGACAGCATGCATTGCACGCCGTAAAAAGTCTTTATACGGCATACAGCCGCACGCGGTAAATTGGTTTTTACGCCATGCAATGCACGCCGTAAAAAATACATTTTGTTGTAGTGAGAGCTGATAATTGTCAGCTTTGTCCCCATAGATAGTTGGTGAATGTGTCGATATTATCAACAACCTCCAAATGAAAGACGTCGATCGACGTCTTCTTGTGATAACATCTTAGTATGCTCTCTAGTATTAACATTATCCACAACTTCAACTTGTCAAACACATCATCGCATTCCTTGAATGCATCTTCTAACTGTGCCAGAGTTACCGTCATAAGTGGGATCGGTGTAATAGATTTGTGTGCTCCTCATCCAACAAATCTAGAACTAATGCGAAGCTGACTAAATTATAGTTTGACGTAACTTTGTCGGGAATCTGTCTCATATATTTATTTGTTATTTATGTCAATTAATTATTTATATTGCTTAATTAACATTTAAGTTACTTGTTTATTGAATTTATTTCAATTACTTATTTATTACTTATTTAAATAAACAATATACATAAATAATTAACATAATTCATGAAATATTTAAATAAACAAAGAAAGTAAAAAATGAATAATTATATATTAAACAAATAATATACATAAACAATTAATGTAATTACTTAAATATTTAAATAAATAATTAAATTAAATATTGATTTATTAAATTACTTATTAAATATTTAATTTTATTTTTTATTTAAATATCTCATTAATTATTTTAATTGGTTATGTATATTGTTTTTTTAATATTTAATTACTTATTTTAATAGTTTATTTCTTATTTATTTACTTCATTTAATGATTTATATTAGTTTCTCGTTTATTTTAATTGTTTATTGAATATTCAATTGTTTATTATATTTATTTCATTTTTTATATTTTAAATAAAATGAAATAAAAAATAATTAATTATTTTACTTAAATAAACAATTTACATAATTAATAAAATATTTATAAACAATTAAATTCAATATTAAAAAAATGGTTGGCATGTTGGGCCAATCCAAACAGTTGAATCCAAGACTGCTGTGAAATTAGCAAAATTACTGTTCGACGTAACTTTGCCAAGAATCTATTTCAATACGGTGTCCAAATGGTAATCTATCCTGCAAAATTTCAAATATTAGAACATTTGAAATATAATGTCACAAATTTAACTAACCGAACTGTAAGAAATATACGCACGAAATAACAGACAATAAAGAAAATGAATTACAAAATTAGAAACAAATTATAGAAAGCAAAAAACTAATTTTTCTAAAATTATTTATTTCATAGTTTATTTTAATTCTTTATTATTTATTTCAATTCTTTATTTAATTAATTTTGCTTATTTATATTTAATTACTTATTTAAATATATTATTTTGAATATTTATATTTCTTATTTAAATATATTACTTATTTAATTACTTATTTAAATAAATTAAATAAATTATTTTGAATATTTACTTCAATTAAATTTTAATTACATATTTTGATTATTAACATTTATTCATTATTTATATTTTTTTATTTATCATTTAAATAATCATTTAAATGTTCATTATTTATTTTTGTGTATTTAAATTAATTATTTATTCATTCTTTATTTCAATTATTTTTCATTTATTTGTTTCAATTGTTCAATTAAATTACTTGATTTAATTATTTATATTTAGTGATTATTTAAATTATTTATTGAACAAGTAAACGTAAATATTTAATTATTTATTTTAAATGTTAGAAATTTATTTCAGTTAAATTTTAATTATCAACATTTATTCATTATTTACATTTTTTATTTATCATTTAAATAATCATTTCATTATTATTTAAATGTTCATTATTTATTTTTGTGTATTTAAATTAATTATTTATTCATTCTTTATTTCAATTATTTTTCATTTATTTGTTTCAATTGTTCATTTAAATTATTTGATTTNACTGCCTCTGTAGATCGCCATTTTCGACGATCTCCGGCTCAAAAATACCTCAAAAAATGTCATTTCTAGTAATTTCATATAATCTACAAAGATTTTTACCACTATTTCCAACAAAATAAAGCTTCAACATCCAATTTCAAAGGTTAATGGGGGAAAAATAAGCAAAACTTACATTCATCGCTTCTAATGGTGGCCGATCGGTCTCCTTCCAAGAAAAAGTCGTCGGTTTCCTTACTATTTCTTCTTCAGACATTGGTTTGAGAGTGATTTCTTAGGGGCAATATTGGGTTTTCATTGTTTTTATGGTTTTTACATATTTTTGAATTTTTTTTTTAAATAGTAGTTAACGGCTATTTTGGAAAAATGGCTTTTTTTGGTGGCTATCTACCACCATTTCCTCCCTTCTATAGTTTCACTTTCTTCAAATGGATGGTGGAGATTGATTCTATTTTACAGTTGATATTTTTCTTTAGATTATTTTTTGTAGATACTTAACTGTCCCTAGTAGCTTTTCTAAATGGAAGCTAAGCGTTGCGGGAGCATTGTTCGATAATAAAATATTGATCGACGACAATCAACACATACAACAACCCCCTGTGATTTTTTTTCCCCTAAAAAATTTTAGACTTGCTCTAAAGAGTGAAGAAGCAAATACCTGCATTCAAGATTCTTGTGTTATAGGACCGAATGATATTATGCAATTCCACAATGGATATACAAGACCATCATGATGGTATTAAGTTGCTCAAAATTGATAAATTCTCTTAATTCTTAAGAAATTATTTATTTATATATAAAGCTACTTAGCTATTCACTGAAGTTAATGATAAGAAAACTAAGTTCAAGTGATAAGAAAACTAAGTTCAAGTCTTGTCTATCAAATAGTACTATAGAGGACGAGATTGTCATGTGTGAATACGCCACACCCTTTTAACCTCTATTCATAATTCACACTTAGCTGACTAAATACACTGTTACAGGGTAATGCCCCTGGAACCAAGAAGCGTGCTACGAATCTGCAGTTTGACAGATTTCAACATTTATGTGCTCAAGTTTTCCTATGCAAAACACTGATTGCTATAGATTTTCTATACGTATTACCAATCTACAAAATTTTCCGACGAAGAGGAGAAGTTACGAGTCAGTTTGTATGATTAATTCAGCAGCTGAGGCCATTGTACGGACTCCTCCAACTCCAAGCAAAGCAAGTGCCAGCTTCTCCTCGTTCCACCGCCTCAGCCCCCGACTTAGTCTTGTCAACACCTCGACATCTACCTCGAATATCCATGCTGGTGTGCATCTGACTATGAAACTCAAGAAACAGGAGACGTATGCACGCCAAGTGGCTGGATCACAGCCTAGTGATAACTGTCCATCAACGGCATTAGCCATAAATTTCATGTGGCACCCAAGAGCTTTTGGACGATGCCTAGAAGCTGATGATGACGAGTTAATGCCCCAGATAAACATTCCAGAAAGGCCAGCTAAATATGCTAGCGCGTACCCTTCGAGCATTGGAAAGATTCCACTTGACTCCCCTTGTTGTTCGTACTGATGAATGGACATAAACCAAGAGGGAAGAGTTTCCTTTATTAACGACTGCAAGAGTCCCGGGCCACCAGTTAAGAAAATTAAAGAAGCCCCCAAAGAAGCTGCTAGTTTCACTTTAGTTATAGATGCAGCAAGTGAGAAGGGTCGGTATCTCGTTCCATTTTTGGCTGTCTCCGGCTTTCCAAACCTGGCAATGTCTTTAACAGCATTCATCAATATTGAAATGATCTCCTCTCTTAAAAACATAATATCCCTAATTGATCGGTAAACACGTAGATACAGAATCCCTGGTGCAACCGGAGAGATCCCACCTTTAAAATGAGATCCAAATCCATGGCCAAGAAGCGCTCCAATGCCACCATTGCTTGACATGCAGGTACTGTTTAAACCAAGGGTGGAGCTGAAGCAGCTTTTAAGAAGCTGAATTACAGCATGATTATTGTGGAGGAAGACAGTACGAGAGGCAGAAAAAACAAGGAAGTCACTCCATCGTTTCACTTTTTGGGTCCACAAGGAAGCGACTATCGGCATGCATGGCCACGGGCAACCTGCTGCAAGTGACTCCAAAGCTGGGCCTGCCAGATCAAGAAAACGCTGCGAGGCTTTATCGAGTTTATAGGTTATCGTGAGGCTGACAAATGCAGCCAACGGCAATGGAAGCACGGCAGGAGAACTTTCTCCTACAGAAAGATAAGTTTTGCAAGATATTGGAGTATCAGAATAAAAGAAACTAATGGAATGAAGATTATAAGTTAGAAACTTGAAGCAAAAACAACATAAAGCATCTCTAACATTTACTTCTGACTACATTCATGCTCCTACACTGGAAAAATTGCATACCCTTCCAAGGATGCACAAAATATGTTTTATCAAATTAAATGGTCCTAAGCATCATTCCTATAGATCATGTTTGGCTAAGCTTAAAACATAGTAAAGTTACTTTTGAAGTATTTGTTTCCATAGATATGTTACTTTTTTTTACTTTTAAGTAGAAAAAGTTACTTATTTTGAAAGCAACGTAACTTTATTGTCATAATAAATAAGTAGCGTACCTTCAACCTTAACCAATCAGATTAAGCTTAGATTATTATTTTACGGCCATGCATGTTTTTCAAAAGAAGAATGTTATTCCTCATTAGTAATAAACATCACCAATCTAGGTGGCAGCGAACCCTTGGTTCAATGTCCAATGCATAAGAATACATCACAATTCCATTGGACAATGATACAGGGTCCATTGCAACTTAGACTGGTGATGATTACTATTAAAGATGAGAGCATTACATTTTTTAAAATAATAACAAACCTGCAGCTAGACTAGGGACATCAACACCAGTAGCAGCTAGTATTTTCTTTATCTTCTCCTCAACATTGGAGAGATTCGCAGCAGGACTAGGCCAATCTGTTCCATTCATAAAAACTGATTTCCAAACACCACGAGTTACTTCAGCCGAAAAATAACTCACAATGATTGCCAAAGTAGCGGGAAGATAATCAGCCAAGTCTTTTAGCCCTGTAATGAAACAATGATAAAAAGTCAACGGAAAATTACTAGCATATTGTTCACTCCAAGAAATTATATTAGAAATATACATGATTCTCCTTCCATCAAGTTAACCATGCAAGTGAAATTTTTTGAGCAGTGAAACGAAGCAAATGTCTTAGAGAAGTCCAACATGCACATCAAACTAACCTGTGCAGAGTTCACGGGGAGACAATCTTCCATGGGCACATGCCGTTAGAGCAGCATCTGCCACAAATGGAACAGCTTCAAGAATATCCCAAGCGGGTAATTTAGGCCTTAAATTGTCTTCACTTCCAGCTCCAGAAGAACTGCTGCTTCCTGATGAAATAGAAATCACAGATGGGCTTCCTCTTTTGATTTTTCTGAACATCATGTTCAACAATGTATCGACTGTTTGATGGATGGGAGTCCCATTGACAAGACCAGAGAGTGGTGAAGCTATGCATGCCAAATGTTGTCTGTACCATGCTTTAAGTTTTGGAAACGAGTCAACAAATATAGGTTTAGGAGACGAAAAACTTGTAACTCTTTCAAGTCTCCTTCTATTTGGATCCTTGAGTGTGTTTTCGAAATATACAAGGTGAGAATTCCGCACTTGTAGGAGGTATTCGGGAGTGAGTTGGGATCCAACTGGAGGTACATCTCCAGCTCCATATTCGATAGGAGGATGATTAAACCTCCAAAGTTTTAGCAGAAGAGCAAATGCATTCGAAAACACAGCATGGGAAGATATCTCTTCTCCTGTTGTCAGAGTCCATGAGACGTTAGGAACAGATGACCCAAACACCTCACAGATTGTCATTAATGAACCAGCAAGCTGCGGAACCTGGAAAAAGTTAAACGATATTGTTTCATTACATTTTTCTCTCAGAAACTCATGGCTTAATTGTATATTAAACCAGAACATAAGTAATGGCTCCTCCTCAAACAAATCAAAGAAGGGACTTGAGAAAAAGGAAAAATATTAGAATTTATGTCATGTCTTAGGACATTTCTTTGTGACACTTCAGACGTATCACTGCAGTATCTGTAAAGTGTAAACCATTAAATCATTAAACCAAATAAATACAAAACTAAACAGGTGCTTTTTAAGTCTTAGGATTAGGACATTTCTTTGTAATACTTGTTTTATAAGAATGATATGCTGTATAATTAGAAAAAATCTCATACACTGGACTAATCAATACAGAGGATGCCCTCAGTAATCCGACATGAAACTATCTTTCCAATGCCTATCAAAGAAAAAATTTGGCTTTGTAAAACTGAACTTACTGTTGGAAAATTTGGAATAATTAGTTAATTTGACCAACTTTTGACCAATTATTTAGTGGGTCCCGTTAATTGGATAAATGATTTCTTTGGCCAAGTACATTCTACTCCATGCGTATGATAGGATACCAACTGGAAAGAACAAGTTCAAATGAAGATTGCACAACTCTTTGATTGAAAGAAAAGTGATTACAGAAAAATAGAATGATAAACGAGTCTCTACTCCACTCCTCACTAATCAATTGCCTGCTCTACCCTTTCTTACCCTCTTCTATTTATAACCTTCTTCTAACAGAATTCGTTCACCCACATGCCCCCCATAACAGAAATTAGTTTCCCTTCAGTTGTTGAGCCGCTTCTCCATCCTTCTGGGGCCTTCTAGAGTACTTGAATCGCATTGGAAGCCTATAAGAGTAGAATTGATATATATATTTATTTCTCAAAACTAATTAATGGTGGATGAGAATTAAAGCCAAAAGATGCCCACTTGAAGTTAAAATAAATTGGGAATAAAAAATTGGTGAAAATTTGAAAAGTGCTAATCCCACATAAGAAAACTAGAAGAATAAAAACCACTTTATATAGCTAAAGTTTGGGGCTTGGGTTTGGACCCCAAGGTACACCACTAGGAGAGAGGACCTACATGCTAATAGGTTAAGCTAAAACTCATACGCACGCACAGCCATCCGATCGGCCTGCTTTGCTCGGCTCGGCATAGGAACAGATCATGGGCTTGGGCATGGGCCCAGTTAGTATATATATTTTTGGTAAAATAATATTTTAATTACATTATTTTATTAAATTAAATAATATATTTTAATTACATTATTTTTTCCCAAAATTTCCTGTGCGCAACATATGGCTTCTTCTAGAAACTGACGGTTGCTAACAGTTTTAATTGCCTATCCAAACGAGTTGTGTATGTTCCAAAACACAACTTTTCGACTGTTGTTTCTTTTGGGCACAACCTTTCAACTTCTATAAATAGACCCCCAAATCCCCATTTTTGTTCATTCCAAAAATTTCTTCTGCTTTCCTCTCGCAAAATATTGTCCTTATGTTCTACAGCATTCCATATTTTGCATTTCTATCCAAAATAATGATTTCGTACATTTTAGTCCTCTAATTTTCGAGAGATCAAAGTATTAATAGGTTCGTCAGGTCTTATAATTTGGAGTGCTACCGTTACAAGTCGAGGTCGTTTTATCTTAGGAGATGAGTGCCAGAAGACCGTCAGCACCTGTGCGGGGCATTATCGTCTTAAGGAGAAAGAGTCGAACTCTTACCTCGACCATTATCAATCTAATTTTATTATGCTCATTCTGTAAGTCGAAATTCTACCCAACACTACTTATTTATATAAATTATTGCAAGGCATTCTCGAATTTTCTTCAACACTCACCAAACCATGTAAGGAGAAAATCTGGACACAATCAACAGGTGCTATCCCAACTAGGAGGACGTTCAACATGGGAGCATACTGCATCAAATAGCTGTCACTCCCAGAGTAATCAGCAGGAACCGGTGGAGACAATAATCTAGTAATAAAATAAACAGTATGTTCCTGCATGATCATGAGCTAAACACAATTAGATAACTAGGAGAGTTTTCCGTAAACCATATAAAACATGCAAATTTGATAAAAATTAATATCTAGTACAACTAGTTTCGGAAAAGGATTTCTAGTAAAGCTAGGTGGAAACTCAACAAAAATTAATTCTTTTACCTGTATATTCCATCCATGAATCAAGGAGGACCCGGTTAGAATCGTGGCAGCAGCTATCCTTTCATTATCAGATCCTTTGACTGCAATCTCGAAGACTTTCTCGATCTCTGCTAAGCTTCCATGACATCCATGAGCTTAAATTCAGTTGCTTTACTCTTTTCAAAATCAATAAAAAAGAGCATCGGATATACCTGGCTTAAGGAAATAAAAAGGCTCAACTGAAGAACAAGCAACAATCTGGTAATACAGAATGGACTCTTATGGTTACTGACAGCAACCTAATGCATCTAGGGAGCCACTGCTTACAAGTCTAAGTATTCTTAACATTTGGGCTCGAAGCAGAAGCCTTTATTATTGCTATAAAATGTTATATTTTCTTTGGTTTGTCTTAAATATGGTTCTCTAGGCTAATTATTTGCATTTGGTAGGCTACGTGCGATGTTGATCACTCACCTGGAGATTTGTCTAGTAATCCATCACAACCCCGCCCATTAAAGTATTTTGAATACCTTAGTGCCATAGTCTCATAGTTATATAGCATTGTCTTGTCAATCATCGAGTAATATACTCCCAACGGACTATTATGCTCGACATAAAACTCTCCACAATAAAGTTGTAGACAGAGACTAGTGAGTATGTTTGGCAAGTGTTTAAAGAAACATTTTTTATCCACATATTTCGTGGAACCCACAAGTAGTACCCACCACCCATTTCTATCTGTTTATAAACACTTGCCAAACATGTGCTCTATGAATAGAAAAAGTTCAGAGGTCACTGCGTGCATACCTTGAAGCAGGAGTTGAAGCTAAAGCCTTGATCGTGACTGGAGCAAGAGATGACCCCTTCATGAATGATGACCAACCAATCACATGAGTGGGATCATTGTGTGGCAGATGGTTGATGCATCCACTTACATAACCTGGCCAGAAATAAGCCGATGTGTCCAATAGATTTCTGGCAATGCATGCCTCAACTATTAAATGATGTAGGTTACCAGCTGCCAAAACATAAACAGCTCAGGAACTAGTCACATAACAAATGGGTAACCCTTGAAACTTCAAATTTCCAGTTTCAAGGCATTAACCTGACCACCAGAAGAAATAATTTGATTTATAATTCCAATTTTTATGGGTTTACACAGTGATACGTATAAAAAGTACTCTATAGATTTCTAGATACATAAACTCAAGTTGTTTGAAGAATCAGGTGTAAATCAAAAATCTCTACACATACAATGATTTATCAATCATCAAAACACAATTATGCTAGAGCTCCAAATAACCCATCTACTCAGCCCACCTTCTGTCTACATATTGGTGAATGAGGATCAAACATCGTCCTCTTTTTATTTTTTACTTCATTCGTTAAAAAACAGGGAATATGTATAATTTTTTACTTGGAAGTTGGAACAATATAGGGTTGGAGACATACTTACAGCAACTAATTGGCATTTCAGCCATTCTGATGCACTCAAAGTATGCACTGTCCACATCGATGCCTGATACGAACATCATTGCTTTTGCAGCAGCCTGATTGGCTGCAGGAACAACTGATTGAGGTGGAGTTAGCAAGCTCTGATAATCACGTAGATTCTGTAGACTAAATATCAAATCCATGTGACGCTTCCCAGTAACTTGATGTTTGCTGACCATATTGCATCCAATTTCATTGGTCGAGGTACTTTCCTCTTCCTCAACAAGATCAGCAACTACAAGAGTTGTGATCGACAATAACATGCACATGCAAGTATCTAAGCGGGGCATAGGTCCCTCAATGGGATCCCTTTCCTGGAATTCAATTGTTATTAGTTATTAATGACAACAATGATGGTCCTGGTCCTGTATAAATATAGATAGTAGCAAGAAGAAGTATCTAAATCTTGTTAGTCCTGTCTAATATACCTACCAAACATGCACTAAAGGTAGTATCAGAGCTTTGTTCTTACCCTCTGAACAAGGCGTAGAGCAGCCATCCAAAGTCCCAAAAAAGCTTCATGCCAAGAGGTTGCATTAAATGCTTGAAGGGATTTGACTAAACCTACGAAATAAAAATCACAGATTCCATTCTGTAAGGCACCTTGTCTCAATATTTTCCTTTAAAAGCAAAGAGGCATAAAAATGACTTTACCAGTAATGATTTCAACTGCACTAGTTGCGTCAACCTGTGAACCATCCATTGCATCTTCTAGAAGCAAATCAAGAGGAAGCCAAAGAGAAGAACGACTCCCAAGACAAAGACAGGCAGAAGTACCCAAGGGCCTGAATTGTTCTACAGCATGGAACTCTTGCAGAGAACTTCCCCGGAAATGCTGAGACAGAGTTTTGCAACCATCTGATATCAACTGTTGAAAAACCTCTGCTATCATAACATTTGAATTTTGCAAAGCCGATGAATTTGCAACCAGCAACTGTATTCGCTGGACAAAGCTTTCCCAGTGAGTGGACCTGGTAAAGGGGAAGAAATTCATTATTTAATCATCTGTCTCAGAAAAATTTAAGAACAAGACTGATGAATCAAGTGAAATGAAAATTATGTATAAAGCTAGAAGGAAATGTGAAGAATACGATTATGTACTTTTCCCAAAATAAATGAAGATATAGATTTGGTTTTGGTTTTACATTATTTATTCAAGTGTTTCAAAGTTTTAATCAATATCCAGTCACTTCCACCGCGGCACATATGGAAAACACTAAGATAAAAACTAAAAGGAAATGCAAACTTTGAAAATAAACTTCTAAAAAGGACTGAAGTTCTGACATGTTTTGGCGTGCCAAGTAAAGAATCCTGGAAGTTACTTTATTTTGGAGAAACTGCCCAATCAACTCCACGGCCATGATGCTATTAATAGTCAGCAATCTCTCTTTATGTTCAATCCTCTTCTCATCATAATTGTTAGGGATATCTACTTGCATTTCTTGAGGTTTGGTAGGCCATATAGAATTTTTCTCTGGTGTAAGATGCAGCAATCCATCATCATCTAGTGATGCGTCGACTAACTGCCAAATAATTGAAAAGATGAACAGGACCAAAAAAGTCCCAGCTTTATTGGCTCGCACACCAAATATCTGAGAGAAATGGAGGATGGCATCTAAGGAATCCATGATCCTGCATAAAGACAGCGTAGTAAAAAATATACCGTCAAATTTAGATCAAATTCCACAGAAATATATCACGAGTTAAAGAGGCACATCAATTAGTTATCTCGGTCAACATTAATGGTAAGCAGAAATGATAAAAAAGAACCAAAAAAGGTCTCAGACCAATATGTTTTAGTCCAAACTATGGGAACAGTATAAGGTAGAGAAACTAAAGTCCATGGACAGCAGAGAATAAAACAGCAACAGAGCATAAGAGAGACAGAGAACCTAAGCACATTAATGGTATAAAATAAACCTGTGTCGAAAAAAAACCAGGTACTCACTGCTCATTGGTAGGCAAATTAGTATATTCTTCAAGTGCAAAAGCATGCTGCTTAAGGAGTTCCATATAAAGCCTAAATGCTGCAGGACAAGAATGCCGATATGGAATTACCCTGGAAAAGGTTAAGAAACGGTGAATGCAATTGTGGAATCAAGACGGAAAAGAATAAATGTTCTACAATGAAGACTTGCCACCATAGAGTGGAGCCTCGCCATCCATTTCAAATACTTTGATAAACACTAAGTCATGTGTGTACAAACACAAAACAGAATGCAAAAACCATGCATTAATCAATAATGACTTAACACTAGAAGAAGTCATTTGGAAATTATCCACTCGTCTCAGTAAAGATCAGAAAAAGAACAAATTGTAACACCTCTAGAAAGATGAGAATCACTACATGCCAGCAGGAAAAGCATATACACCCTTAAAAAAATCTTCGCCATGTCACTTCAACGGATACTGAGATCATTCAATTAAAGAAAATATTCAATTCTAGAATATTGGTGAACAAAGATTTAACAGTAAAAATTCAGATCACAGAGACAGTGAAGGTATGAATTCAATCCCAGAAATATGCAGTATTCATGTACCAACAATTTCCATGTGGGACCCACAAGCTGAAGTGGAAATTAAATGACATCAATAGATAGAAAGTTGATACAGAACATTCGGAAACCATCGTCGATCAATCACTAAAAAGTTCCTGAGATTCAATTAGAACTACTACAAATGCACAGGAAAAAACAGGTTATAAAACAGATATTCAAGAATATGTGGAATTAAAGATTGAATTTTTGAATCAACCCACATGATATAACTTGCTTCCCAAAGAAAAAGTAAAGGTCAAAAGGAACTGGACTTGTGTAGAGCAAGCAAAAAGATGGGAACTTCAATACTATTAAAAACTCTTACGGATCCACTTCACACCTCCCTTTCACATAGAAAAGAGGTCGATCTATAGCCAAGTGATTAGACTCTACGCAATCCAAATAAAAAACTCAAGATGAACCAAAAAATAAAAAGGAAAAGAATACGAAAATGTGTCCCAAAAAAAAAAAAAAAAAATGCAGCGAACAACACGAAAGAGGAGAAGAGGGACCTTATTGAGAGCAGGCCAAGAACAAGTAGAGGCGGCACAATCTTGAGTGCCAAGGCTTTCTCCAAGAACTTCCATGCAATGGACACATTGTTTTCCCAACAAATATGGTGTACCAAAAGGTTGGCTAGCTCAAGAGAAGGCAAAGCCACCCCAGCAGAATTCAAGTTTGAAGAAACTTGGATTGCCCACAACAATGGGTCACTGCCCTTTTCTTGGGCCGCTTTGGTTATCTTCAAAACACTGTCCCATAGGCTGTAGTTCAACGCCTCCATTATTATTCTCACAGGGTCATAATCCCCTCTGGATTCTGTGCTATAAGTTCCAACAATTGTGCGTGTGTTTTGAAAAGGTGAGGTGGGGGATTCCTGTGAACGCTGGTGATGGTTTGGACTTTGGAAAGAACAAAAAGGGACTCTGTACGCTGTAGACTGATTTTGATCTTATCAAACTAAGATGTGCGCTTGAAAGTTGAAATCAATACAAATATTGGAGTGAGGGAGAGAAAAGTTATTATCTTATTATGCTTAGGTTGTATGTTTTATTTAAGGTTTATTAAAATGTGTTCCGATACAAGAATATGCATCCGAGTAAAGTCATGCGATGTTTATTTAATCCTTAAAAAGAAAAAGGAAAAATTAAATTTAGAATATGTTTGATGAGTCGTATCCAACAAAAATTGCATTTAGAACATGTTTGAAAATTCGTATCTGACGAGAAAGTACAATATTATGAATAAAATTTTAACTTGTTTATATGAAGTTAGTGTAAACATTGATTTGGTGTTATTTGACGGGTAAAAAGTTTAAAATGCATTCCGTGTTTGAATTATTAATGTTTGGCATGCAGAGAATAATAGTTCACAGCTAAATTCAATTCTCCATTCTGAAAGGGCTATTCTCTTTGGTTTTATGATGTTGAGTGAATGCTATTACATGAAATGACATCGTATTTGAGGGACTTGTAATCATAGAGCAATCTAGATGCATCAATTTAGCCCCTGTTTGATAGTAATTATTTAGAAAATTGTACACTCCTTTTATACATCATTGTATACATTATCCGAGTTGGTAAAGTATGATTGATCTAGTTTTTTTCAAAAAAAACTGTCAAATCGGAGCTTGATACGTGACGGAATGTGCACAATGATGTACATGAAGCATTGTTGGGATAGTGTTAACCTACGATTGTGATGGTATCGATTTAGCAGTGTACTTCGTTAATCTAACAGCTTTGTAGATGATTATAGAGAAGGGTCTTAGCTATCAAATTAATTTGTGCACGAACAATTTAAAAAAGGGTTGTGCTACTTTACCAGACCCCAATTGTCTGATCCCTTACAGGCCTCACACAAAACAAGGGTAGGTCGGTATTTATGGGGTTTTTTTTTTAATTATGCAAGACCCGCCTCATTAGAGAGGCTATGTAAGACCTCTGGCAGAGGGATTCTGGCAAAGAGACAATACCCTTTAAAAGATAAGGAGATGGCAGGGTCACTGTGCATCTATTTGAAGGATCATAATCGAACGCTCGTTAACTAATTGGATGTATTTGCACATTATAGTCATAGATATCTAATTCGGCATTTGCAAGAGGGGACTTTTTTTTTTTTTTTTGATGAATATCTTACGAGGTCTAAAACTCTTTATTAAAAAAGAAGAAATTAGGAAAAACAAAATTAGTAATTATAGTAATTATCCAAATGAGTGTGAAAACTGGAAAAGTCATATATATATATATATATGCCAACCAGCAAAATCCTGTATACAGCAGCCATCTTTTCACTGGATAACGAGGAATCGTGTCAATAAAATATGGATTAAAATACATTAAACTCCAGTTTGTTTCTGATCAATTGACTCTAGCCATCGTTTATTATATTTGGCATCTCTTTCTCTAGTCGTCAAGGGACGGCTAATGTATTATTAGTGACAATGATAAAAGGTCATAAGATTTTTAATTACCATAGAAAAGATAGGACGAGAGAATAATAAATTAGATGTACAATTTTCTCTTATCAACTTATTTTCATCATATTGAATTATTCAATGGCGGAAGAGGATCTAATCTCATATTGAGATGAACCTTTATAAATCTTGAATGTCTTTATTTTTAATTTTTATTTTTTTGCTAATTGATTACTCTCGAAATAAAATTAGGATTTCTAATTCTCAACGTTATTCTTGTGTATATATGTGTGTGTGTGTACGTAGGTTCACATGGCACGAAACCGTGTTGTATGGTATTCTATAGTTTTCTAGAAAAGATGCATGCAACAAGGTGTATCTTGTGATTGTGATTCGTTAACAAGCCATGGTATTCGATCTATATGGACAGGGGACGGGCCACGGCTAGAGCACATCGTATTCTATATTGATATTTGCCTAACGAGAATATTATACAGCAAAATTGACTTTTTATGATATTCATTTATGGTGTGCATTAAAGGCATTTAACAAGTCACTAGAATCTAAATTAAACTTCCTTGTAGCTAGAGTTTGACTAAAAATTAACTCAACTTAAACTTATCTTTACCCAACAAAAATTTAACAAGTCATTGGAATATGGATTAAATAAAAAAAATTAAAATTAAATTTTGAATAGAGCAAATTACTTAAAATTCCATTTAGATTTAACGATAATTATAAAGACATCCTCTATTTTTTGAAATTTCAGAAATCCCTTTTTGAGGTTTACATTTGATAACAGATTACTCCTTAACTAATATATTAATATTTATTTCTGATATTATCTCTCTACACTATTTTGAAATTATTATTTTATCATATTTAAATCATGTTTTTTTTTTTTCTCACAAGCACTTTAAAGGCGTTGCCAACCATATGGTGCCTTTTTTGTGATTTTTTACGAGAACCAACGATAATGCTCCATGTGAAATTCTGTAACAATTATGTGAAAGTTGTACATATAATATAACTCTTCTTATTATTTGTTAAATTTTTCTGTATGTGTAACGTAACTCTTCTTATTATTTGTTAAGATATAGTAAAATCTATCATACTTTTGATTTATATGAGATCATTTTAGTTTAAAAAATATCATTATAAATATTGTTGTAGCATTTAAAAACTTATGAAATGTGATTTTCTTTGTAAATATGATTGATATATAGTTATCAACTCAATGTAAAAAAATATTTTAGAATAATTTGACAAAGCTAAATGCAAATATATTAAATATTTAATATTTCTAGATTTAACAGAATTTTTTTATTTTTTATGTTTTATATTCTTAACATGCATACTATATTAATTTAAAAAATTAAATTAATATTACCATATCATTAGATGTGCAACAAATTGATATCGGAATTTTAAGGTTTAGATTTCTTTTTAAGTTACTTTTTTTTTTTTTTTAAATATATAGCTAAAAGGTAGGATAGGCAATTTTTTTATTTTTTTTTTATTTTTTTGGAGAATGAAAAATTGAAAATGAATGGAAGAAAGTGTTTTCCAAAAATCACTTCCACACAAACACACACACAACAATAATAATAACAACAACAACAACCTGCGATTTACCTCCCTCACAATACTACAAGGTAGGGGCGGTGGGGGACCCTTAAAGTTAGGGTTCAACCTTTTTTTTTAACAACAACAACAACCTTTTAAAATTAAAACACTTTACTTTTCAAAACTAGAATTAAGTTAAAAAAAATAAGAAAACAAGCAATCGTATATAGAACATAAGGAGATAAGGGCGAAATGAAAATTTTATGCTAGGAATAAATGTTTTTGAAATTTTTGAAAATGGAGTTAATGTTCGGGAAAGGTATTTGTAATTTACTCATTTTAATAATTTAAATAAATAATATTTTTCAGACAACTTTTATAATTTTGCCCCCATTATTTCACATTATAGTTTTTCTCTCTCTTATTTTTAACTATACAGTCTTTCATAAAATAATATTACACGTAAATCCAAAACTTTTCCTTCTTTATCAACCACACATTCTTCAAAAAAAATTCTATTCCAAAATTTATAATACCTAATAATGAGGGGGCTAGACGAGGCTTACTAACTTAAAGTATTCTAATTTTTAAAAAAAGAGTACTTTTACATGTCATTTTGTGCGGTGCTATGTTTTCTATTCCGGATTTCCAATGCAATGTACATATCTATCGAGTATATGTGTGTCCTTTGGAGAAAGAGATGTGTCGAGATTTGATTTTTCGAGGATAAAAGCAGAGAAAATAAATAAATAAGGTAACAAGTGGTTAGGGTTAGGTAGAGATGATGACAGGGTGACATCCCAATCAAAAGTTGGGCCTTGTGATGGATACATTAAAAAGCAATTCTTTTTATCTCTAACTAATGTCAATGAGGGCAAGTGTGACGGCTTTATTCTTCTTCCTTAGCTTCTACATCATGATTTCTCGGTAGGTAAACCACAATGACTTGGTCTTGCCCATTAATATGTCTACCAAATGAAATCATGACTCCTTCTATTCTCAACAATATGTAGCCAATCGCGTCCCGAACAATTGTTGATTCTTGAATCGAAATTGTAAGTTTTTATAAGTATTCTATTCTCAACAATATGTAGCCAATCGCGTCCCGAACAATTGTTGATTCTTGAATCGAAATTGTAAGTTTTTATAAGTTTTCTATTCTCAACAACATGTACACCCATAACTGACCCAATAAGTTTGTAACGTGCAAGTAAAAAATGTCGAATTCAATCAAATTTATTCATTTAAATAGTTGAATTATATCACTCATTCGTAATCACTTTTTGATCGCACTTTTTATGCGATGCTCGCCTCACAAACCTTCTTGAGGTGCTTGACGTTATTGTGGTAGATATTAGATGTAATTTGGTAGCGTATTTATGGTGAGTTAAAAAAGTGTTGAAATATGCATTTGGTGACATATCTTTTTCCTCTTATTTTCCAGCTAAAAATTGGGAAGATAATTTGTATTTTTTTGGGAAAAAAAAAATATATATATATATATACACATTATGGACAGATTTAAACCCGGACCAAAATCTAATGTTCAGGTTCGGTTCCAATAATTTTGTGAACCCGAATGATTTCATCTACAAAATACTGTAATGAGTAGTTATGAGTATTAAAATACCCAAATCGATCCATCCGATGCCCATACTTAGTTGTATGTATTGAGAGAGACTCATAATTTGATCCTTAATAATTACAAAGAGATATATTAATTTCTGTTTTTGGTAATCTTTATTAAAATATTGTAATAAAATCTTATCAATTTAATGAATCTCGCAATCATCCAATAATACAACATAATAATGTGCACATAAGACTTTTTATATCAACTCAAATTCGCATAATGTTACAAAGAAAATTAGGTGAGATTGCACGTATAGAATAAATATAGCAATAACGGTCCCATGAAAAGGTCCAAGTTGGAAATGGAAGAACGGATAGGGTTGTTGGTGAATGACTTGGATAAGATTTGGCCCCTACTTGACATTCTTTAAAATAAATTTTTAAGAAAAATGAATTTTGAAATAATGATCTTTTTAAGAATTTGTGATTAAAAATTAGAAAATAGTTTTAAATTTACGTGTAAAATATTTTATTCTTGAATGTATGGTTAAAAAAGAGTTTCAAAAAAATGGAGTTTTAATTTAATGAATGTCAAATGGAGGCCTTTATTTTGATTTCGTGCTTATAACATATTTAACGAATCATATTAAGTTAACGGCTGTGCTATATGTATATCACTACTTACAAATTGATTTACAAACACGTGATGTGAGAAGATATGATTGGATAAAGATCTCTTCAAAAAAATAAAAAATAAAAATCCCCATTTTTTTGACACATCATCAATTAAAAATTTATGAAAAAATTTTTTTTATAAGAATTTAACTTGTAATTCTTGTATGTAGTTATTTTTCTCATAAGTAAAAGTTTTACTTATAAATAATTTTTCACTTTTAAACATTAGTTGTAAAGTTATTTTCAACTTGAAAGTGATTTTTCTACTAATATAAGCATTATGTTAATTTTTACACGTAAGTATATTTTTTACTCATGCTTAAATATTGTATTTGAAAATGATTTTTTTCACTTATAAGTGAAAATCTTAGTTCTTGTAAGCAATTTATGTAATACGATTTAACTAATATTTTCTTAACTTATAAAATGGTGAATAAATAATACGTCATAACTCCACCTTTACATAACATATTAATTTTATATAATTGAATATCAGCGGATAAGCACCTGAATTAATTCAATTCGGGTACTAATTGCCCAAAACACCACATAAGAATTAGATAGTGTTATTTTAATCCTTGTTTTCGGTCTAATATTGCGAGCCAAACATGACCTTAATTGATTTATGTGGTTAATTAATCATTTAGCATAAAAAGCCGTATTTTTTCAAACCTCCATAAAGTAGATCGAGCCGAATATGACGTTGTTAATATTTCTTAAATTTATATCGGTATCACGTTAGACTTGACACATCTCATATTTAATACATGTCAAACTTCGTTTGCCATGTTATAATTTTCATGGTTTTATAGGGGCCTAGTTCATAGGTAGATCAATCGCATGGACCAATTATTTTCTATTAAAATTTTCTCACGGAAAAAAAGAAATAAAAAAGAAACAAGTTTTCCAAGAATCCTACAACTACCAACGATTGACAATTTGTCTAGCAGATCATGCGAATCGCACGCCACTCACACTTGGATTAAAGTTTTCTTGCTCTTGCTATAACAATTTATACGTGTACATATGTTAGATCGGACTATACCAACTTAACTCGTCCAAAAGGAGAGTAAAAAAGGTTTGTTAACAGCAGATAATCCAAGTAAAGAAGTGTACAGTCAATGGGGGGAGAACCTGTGATCCAGTTGAGGCATAACGTGCGATTTACCCTCTCTAAGGTTCTAGGGGCATGAGTCTTGGAGGTCCAGGATTTAGTCTGGTGTATACTGGGATACCTGAATATCAAAAAAAAAAAAATGTTAAACGGATTATGCAATCTTTTTAGCTAAACTCACCAACCCTTCACTTAATTGGACATTGACCATCCAACAAATCAATAATTAGTCAATCATATTGGTAATCAACTAATCAATTGACCTAAATTACACTGTCTAATCATTAGAATAATATTTTGTTCCTCATATTATGGAAGTAGCCCTCCCCAGCCCCAACTTACTTCGTAAAACCCCAAAATAAAGTATTTTTATGCACTTTATGAAACATTTTTTTTGTAAGTCGAAGTTAAACCGAGCATTTGACATGAATACTATGTTTTTATATTTTTTTCAATTTTTTTGTTTATACGAAAAATCATCAATAGAATATCGGGAAAGTAAGCAAATTAAAAACGAAAAGTAAATACTGATTGATTGAGACGTTCCAAAAAGAAAAAGGTTGATTTAACACTTCCAATGGCTAGACAAAACGAGCAATTGGACAAACTCCATATTTTACTCAATTTGTTTGGACGGCCATTACTTATATATCTCTTCACAATTTGTGTTTTGTGTTGGTGGAATATCTCTAAAAACACAAGAAAATGAGTAAAAAAAAAATAGAAAATATAGAATCTCTAACAATGAAGAGTTCAACTTCGTGTCACATTGACACTTTTCTTAAGACGTTATTTGTCTCCACTAATTCAGAATGCACTTGGGATTGATAAAATATAAACAAGTTTTGTGTAATGAAATATGCAAATGAATAAGTATATTACATTCAAAAAATAAATAGACTAAATAGCCTTTTATTGCCTCAGTATCAAAAGTGTATGTCAAGTGGACATGAATCTATATATAGATTTTTACATGACCATTCATGTAAATTTGTGACTTTTTATATGAATCTCCAGGTATAAAGAGGAACCTTTTCACATGTTTTTGAATCACAAAAAATCATCCAAACAGTAAAAAAAGGCTTATTACCCCTAATCAACAAAAGATTTAATAGCTGGGCAAATCTTAGAATACGAAGATTTATTTACTCGAGGTCTCATTCCAAAGAAAAACTTCCTACCCGTTCCTCAAATTGGGATTTGCCCAACTATTAAATCTTTTGTTGACTGGGGCAATAAGCATTCATTGGGACAACCTTAGATGACACAATGTTGAACCTCTTCCATCATTCGACTAAGATGAAACTCAATCAAATTGGTAGCTTACTCTAGGTCATCTAGGACAAATGTTACAGTGTATTTTGAGGGGGTGAAAGAAGGTGGCATTTTCCCCCTTTTTTCTTTCTTCTTTTTTATTTTCTTATTTAAAATTTCAATTAAGAATAATAAAATGCCAATTTTGCCCTTTTTAATTTTGTGGCTTTCAAGGCAAATGGATTGACTAACGCCAAAATAAAATGGATGGAACCACCTATTTCTGAAAGCTGGAGGACCTTTTTCGTAATATACCAAAATTAAAAACTCAGTGTTTTATTATATTAACCAATTCGGTGCTATTTGCGTCAAATTTCGATTTTCGTTGAAACTAATGGTTTCTGCCCTACAGTTCCAATAAATCTTGGCCCAAAAATAAATGCTAAATTACGGAAAGGATTATGAAGAAATTGAAAAATCCTGAAAGAGAAATCCGGTGGACGAAATAATCAATTTTTCACCCGTTGGATAAACCCTGCATCTTAAATTTCAAGGTAAAATCTCTACTTTCCTGGATTCCCACGTCAAAATTTCACACGAAAAAGCATTCCAATTCTAATATACACAAATATATTCGATGCTATTCCGAAGGTTATGCTTCTCTTTATCGAAATCTTGCTACCTACCTTTTTTTCTATCCTCAAAATTGACAAACCCGTTTGCTAGTTTAAACTCAAACCCAGGATTTATATCGAATTGTGAATCCGTGAAACTAAGGTTTCAGAGGCGGATGTCCGTGAATTCGCACAATTTGGTGTCCGAAAATGCCGCAAGTTCCACTATGGATGATCCTAGGAAGCCCCCAGTCGTCCCCATTCCATCCCCGGAAACTGCCGAACCGATCGAGGTATTCAGGGCCCTGGAGGCCTCTTTGGGCTTGCAATTTAGCTCTCAGCCCATATTCCCGAAACCTGGACCTTTGATTATTGTTATAAGTGGCCCCAGTGGTGTTGGCAAAGATGCTGTGATCAAAAGATTGAGAGAAGTTAGAGAAGATCTGCATTTTGTGGTTACAGCAACTAGCCGAGCTAAAAGGCCTGGAGAAGTTGATGGAAAAGATTACTTTTTTGTGAGTAAAGAAGAATTTTTATCCATGATCCAGAAAAATGAGCTATTGGAGTATGCATTGGTGTATGGTGACTATAAGGGGATCCCTAAGCAGCAGATTAGGCAGTACATGGAGAAAGGGTGTGACATTGTATTGAGAGTGGATATACAGGGAGCCATGACGTTGAGAAGGATCTTGAGTAAGAGTGCGATTTTCGTATTTTTGGTGGCAGAGAGTGAGGAGGCAATGGTGAAGAGATTAATTGATAGGAAGACAGAAACGAAGGAGACTCTGCTCATGAGAGTTGCAACAGCTAGGGAAGAGTTGAGGCATTTGAATGAGTTTGATTATGTGGTTGTAAACAAGGGAGGTGAGTTGGAGAGTGCAGTGAAGCTGTTGGAGTCCATCATTGATGCTGAGAAGGCTAAAGTGCAGCAAAGGAGAGTGGTCATTTAGATAAGAACCCATCAAAAAAATTAGGTTAGTATAGTGCATGTTGAAACTTATTGGAGTACTTTTGAAACTATATTTCCTATGGTATATTGTCATCGATTATGTTCTTAGCAAATATGGTTTGGGCCATTTCTCTATTGATTGATTCTTCAATGTGTCAATGAGTCTACTGGTGAATCCGTCATGTGAATCTTTCGTGGGTCTTTGTATTTGGGTGTGTCTGTCTGTATCTTACATGTGCTGAATTGTATTATTAAAAGATCATGTTGTTACTAACTTCCTGGCAAGAACAATCTTTTGCGTTCAAAATTGTTTATTTTAATTGCATAGCTATCTATTAATGTAACTCGAGAGTTGTTCTTTCTAACTTCTTTCTTGTTGGCATTATAGGCATATTGTTATGCCAGTTTTACAATTACTTTTATAATATGGAGATATTATACATTTTTATTATCTTATGTGGGTAACTCTCTACAAGAGGAGGCTCCTGAATGTATTAAAAGTGCACATCACAATGGACAAGCAAATGCCCGTGCAATATAACAGTCTCATCGATATGCTTAATCAATTTAGACCATTTTCCACCATGATGGAAATCATAGTGCCTAATTATCCTAACATGTGAAAACTATAAAGATTCTCAGTAATGTGTTTATTTGATTCACTAATTAAAACTATCGTTAGTTCTCAATTTTCTGAATGAAATAAGAAGTATTATTAGCACTCGACTTTCTTTCTGTGTTGCGCGGACGCTTCAACTAGTGTTAGAGTGTCCTTGTCCAACACATGTTGGATACCGACACTCCTCGTACACTCAACCATGATCATTTTTCGATTTTTATTAAAAATATTATATAACTTAAAGTTATTAGTAATTAACAAATAGAAACTCATATTTAAAAGATTTCAATAAGAAAAATTAATAACAAGTATAAAATTAAATTTATATTATATAAATAAATTTTTTTTAATGAATTTAATCAACATGTCGACTATGTGCCGCGTCAGTACTTTTTAAAAAAAATCTCGTGTCAGCGTATCCGACACTTCTCGTCCATGTCAGTGCGTCATAGCTTTCTTCTATAGCCAATAGCATACCAAACTGATACCACAATTTTCACTTGTCCATGATTATTATTGAAATGTAGATAAAAATTGTTCACTCAGTTGATAGCATCCACAGATTAAGGCAAATATTATGCAGGATATACAAATGGCAAATAATCAAAATTAAAAATTCTTTTGGAGGCTATTTGAAAGACACAACAAATGGACACATTTTACACTATAGTAGCACATATAACCAGATCTAAGTGAGGGCATGCTTCTGATTCAGGCATGCTTTATTGTTTGAGAAATATTTATTATATGCAACATTGGATGTTGTGCATTTGAAAGTTAAAATATGTTCAATCTATGGTTCACAACTACTCGCAACTCTATTCTTTAACTTGCTTGAAAATTTTAGTTATTCTGGTTCGAGTCCCCTCTGGGCTACTGAGGTGAGTGAGTACTTGACTGTAAATCTTAGAGTCCGTGATATTAGTCAAGGTGCGCGAAAACTGGCCGGAACATCCACGGTGATAAAATAAATAAATCTGTTATTTGTGGGAACATTTGAATTGACAGAACCTTCTGCATATAGTGGTAACTATATCATTATTTGGCTATATTTATTAGAGGCTTCTTTTAGACTCTTTTTTTCTGCTTTTAAGTATTCAGCTAGTTATTAACTGCATCTCCAGGTTGTGGCCGTATGAGTTTTTTTTACCCTTATCATTTGCTGCTTCCATATGCAAGTCTCAATTTCTAATGTGGATTATCTATGGCTGGCAACACATTCCACTATCCTGTTATGATTGTTAGTGATTATATGATTCAGTACAAGGTTTCTTAGCCCCCGTTTGTTTCTCATTTTTGGAAAAATAGGAATGAAAAATGTAGTCATTATGGGCCCCACATAAGAGATATAAATTCAAATTTGATGGCTTGATGTGATGGATAACGGTCATATTTTTCATTTTAATGAAAATAGAATGGGAACCAAACAGGGTGTTAATACAACTTTGGACGCTCCATTTGCTTGTTGTATTATATGTAGAAGGCAGCAAAGTTTCATTTGAAAATTTGAGTTTTTGTGAATGGTGAAATGAAGAAATGTGAAGTAGCTTAAAGGATTTCTGAGTTCATTAATCTTGACACTGCAGGTCTATATTGTGTCTTAAATTCACTTCTGCCATTTATTGAGTCGTACACAAATTCGGATATTAAAGGATCAGAAATCCATAAGGTGAATAGCGGAAATTAGAGTCTAAGATGAATGTGTGGTCATACTAAAATGGATAAGATAAGAGATGAGAACCGTTCACTTGGTTGAGTAAGTGGGCCGGTCGGTCCCGCGCGACCATGATAGGGCTCGCCAAGTGGAGGTGGCACATTGAAGGTTAATTAAGATGACTTCAGTGATTTGGCATGTTTTAGGTTGACTAAAAGGGGTTTCATTGTAGAGGCAAGACTTTGGTAAACCAAGATAGAGAAAGGGGAGGGAGAGTAGACAAAAATTAACTTGGTCCGTTAAGGATCTAAATTTTTAAATCTCAAAGTAGATCTGGCAAGAACTAAGTGGAATGACACTGAATGATTAATGTGTCCAACGCTAAATTTACTTAGAATAAGTCTTTGTTTCTCAATGTTATTGTTGTTGTTGTCGTTGTACGCGACTCTATCTTTAGCTTAAGGTAAATTTTGATGCCATTGCTGTTAATGTTCAGGCTGGAGGCATTATATTTTTACCTAGATTGCATTCTTTGTAAAAGTCTATAATTTTACATTTTGACGCATTCTTCTTCTCTGGTCTCAAATGGTCTATCAAAGCCTAGTTAGCAGGTCCCTTGCAATGGCAGAAGAATTTTTCTAATGATTTTGTACCCTTAAGTGCATGTCTGGCCAAGCTTAAAAAATTTTAGTTATGGGTTTGTTGGATTTAGATATTCTGTACCCTACTAGCAAATGTTCGATAAGTTGGATTAGACGATATTGTACGATATAACAGTTTACACTAAAAATATACTCTACGAATCAGTTCAAGTTGTTGAAAAGATGATGTATATGATTCATGAATTTAGAGTTCTTTATTCTATTGAAAAATATTTTGTAGAAACATTCAGGGTTTGTGGTCAGCATGATTCATATCCTACTGCAACGTGCAATTTTTTAGTTCTGCATATGTGAAAGATCAGCGGAATAACAATGGACTATTAAACTAAAAAAAGCTTAGCTTCTATCCATTAATATTTGTTCGTGTGGAATACTTGTTCCTAAACATGTAACGTGGCCGTGGCTTGGCGTGCATTTTCCCAAAGTCTGCAATAAAGAAAGCATAAGTCAAGCTCAATCACAATAATGACAGGTAATAAATAAACTAAATTTTTTCTTAGGATTAGGGCTACATGGTACTATCATTTATTAATTTGAAAAACGTACAAGTCAAATTTCAATGTCTAGCAATTCATAAATTATTTGGGACCCCTTACATGGTAATGTCCAGATCATAATCCCTTGCTTTATCTCTGCAAATCTCGGTCTTTGCGATTAAAGCATAAAATACAAGCAAAAACTTCCCAAATGGAGAAAACAAAAATTAAGGCAAGTTTCTTCGAAAACTACAAGTAGTTGTATAATCAAATTTTTTTATTAAAGAATTAAAAGTGTAACCTCGTGATTCTTGACCTGACTTATTTATAGGACTTTCTCGATGGCGGCTATTCCAAGCTAGACCGTCACCGTTATAAGTAATTGTTTGGATGGTGATTCTAATTTTAATCATTTTTTGTCAAGCATACTTTTATTCCCAAATTTCGTAAGATGCACAGCTATTATCAATTTATTATTACATATTTCATAAGATTTACAACTTATAATCACATTAAACGTGCACAAAATATATTCACTCTTTTAATATGCCGGAGTAGATAAAATTATATCTAAAAATAGCATGTTGATTTCACTTTCCGTCTATTTTATGCCATCTTCTTTGTTACTACATTGGCAAAAATCTTGTATAGGACATGAAGATGGAAATAGTCTTGGAATTACGAGTAACATTTGAAACATCTCACTTTTGAAGTTAACGATTCATTTAGGTCAAGATACTGCTGTATCAATTACTCGATAAATTTAGAGGACTTTTTGCAACTAGATCATTGATGTCCTATCGATCAATTTCTTGTAACTTTTTACCTTTAAACTAGGGTCCCACAACTCAAACAAATCGACGGTGTGTGCTTGTGTGTGTTGACACAATATGGGTGTCATATTCTTGTAGAAAAAGGGATAGAAAAACAAGATAAGTTCAAGGACCCATGCCATGTGCCTTTAACTTGACTCAAGAAGACTTCATGTTACCTAGTCCTACAAGGCATAGATTGCCCCTTTTCTACACTTAAGGGCTCCCAGCTTCAAAATTATATTATTTCTACGAGAGGTAAAATTTGAAGTGGATAGTACTGAATAGATCCACCATTTTAATCCAATTCATGTTTTGAACAAATAAATGGACATTTTTGGTTCATTTGTTAGATTCATTCATTTTGAACCCGAATTAGACGAAATTATTCATTGTAATGCTCTCCAAAATGTCGAGGTCAACCCATCTTCACTTGTCATTTGATTGACATTCAAACAATCAATCTTTTGTATTGAGTTTTTCCAATTGGCTTACTTGACAAAAAATTAATCGAAAGTCAAACCAAGAATCTTATTTAACCTAATTCATTAATTATCATATATCATACTAATTGAATTATTAGCGTTACAAATTGTTCTCTGAAGGAAAATGGATTTACACATCACCGACATTCTTTCATTAACCAAGCTGAATAAATCCTGTACCGTGATTAACTATTTTCATATTTTATTATTTATAGATTAATCCCTTATAAACCCACAGTTAGCAGTATTTTTTGTTTTCTTGGAGAATCACATAGTGGCAAATTTTATTAAATAATTAAAAACCCTAGAAAAAAGTTTCAATGATTATAAATTAATTTGCAGCAAGAAGCGCCGTTATAGACTAGGGAAGATTAGATGGTACACGATATTACAAAAGGAAAAAAAAAAGTTAAATTTTCTTATTAGTTTATATATTGTCTAATCACATTCAATACTACGTTCTAAAAATAGGGTTAAATCAGACGGACAAGGCCCTGGACAAATTAATTTGCAGCAAGAAGCGCCATTGTAGACTAGGGAAGATTACATGGTACACAATATTACAAAAAGAAAAAAAAAGTTAAATTTTCTTATTATTTTATATATTGTCTAATCACATTCAATACTACATACTAAAAATAGGGTTAAACCAAATGGACAGGCTGAGTCCCCCAAGAATCTCCCCTAAAAATAACAGTTGACCTACTTGTACAAAAGATTTTGTACAAGTAAGTTGACAGATACAAAATTCAAATCAAGAGACAAGCATACATTTGTCAACCTATCTTTAATTTCTATATATGTAGCAGATTTTTAAAAATAAAATTAACTATGCCAAAAATGTTCTTGAATTGATTGATGACCTGGCATAGTTTGTTAAATAAAGCAGAGGACGGAAAAAGGGGTGGGTAAAGGAATAGCTTTACATGCCTTTTTGTTATAAAGATCAAGGAATAGCCATTATTTTTTTTTTTTTTTTTTTTAAAGATAAAGAAACAACCTTTTGAATCTTTGAGTGATCTATCAAGGTGGGACACAGATAGTATTTTTGACCAACTCGATCGGACTAAACAATACTATGAACAGTCTTATCTAGTATCGTATACTAAGGATTCTAACGGGATTAGGGTTAGGGTTAGGATAAGGGTTAGGGTCGAGGGCGTAACTACTATCGGACCTATATATGGTCTTGGTGGATCAAGTGACTTACCAATTTTCAAGATTTTTTTTTTAATGGGTTTTAGAGCCAAAAATCATATTTGAGCAGTAACAGTAGTTGGGCTTTTTTATTAGAATAGAGTTATAATGATTACCGAACAATTGAGAGAGTGAACGTTGAGATTATTTTGTCATCTGTGATATTTAATTTGAAAATTCTTTGAAAATTATTATTTATCATATACGGGAGATTATTTAGAATTCTTTGAGAATTGTTATTTTACATATATATGAGCTTTGTGAATCTATGACAATGATCACTTGTATATATTCATGTAGTATAAATAACTTTTTAATAAATTTAATCGTGCTCCACTAACACCAAATGCCTGCTTCCGTCACTGTGCGTAACCTTTTGGCTAAGTTAAACGACAGCGACAGCCTAATAAAAACAAGTTAAAGACAGGCAAAATAACAAGAACTACGAAACCAACCCCCCGCAGAAAGTAAGAAAAAGGAGTGCAAAGAGAAGCAACTTAACAGCTTTCTTTCCTCGTTTCCACAAATAAACGTGTTCCGTAAGATCATTTTCCTCTCCGTAAAACTTTCCCCCCGCTTCATATATATACCTACTAACAATTGTCATCTTCAATCAAGAAATTAGTACACACCAAGAATTTCAGACACAAACACTTTCTTTTTTTTTATTACTTCTTAAACCGAACTTTTTCGTTCAATTTAGTTCAATTTGAAGCAAGATTTTGGCTTAAACAATATCCTGAAGATCAAAATGGATCCCGAGGCTTCAAATCTGGAATCTGAAGGCAGTGTCCATTTGCAGATTTCTGAGCTTAACGCAAGGCTAAGTGAAACAGGCAGTTTTAGTCCAGCCATTGAGCCCCAAACTTGCTCTGTTGAGACCAAAAATAGCAGCACGGCTGATTCTATGTCTCAAACGAGGCCTGCGATTCGGGCTCCCGAAAAGAAGCTTACCCTTTTTGCGCTTCGTCTAGCAGTGCTTGAGAAAGCAGCCTCTGGAATTGGAACTCTGGGATTCATATGGGCTACTGTTGTTCTACTTGGTGGTTTTGCCATCACTTTGGACAAAACAGATTTTTGGTTCATAACTGTTATTCTTTTAATTGAGGGAACTCGAATATTTAGCAGGAGTCATGAGCTCGAATGGCAACATCAGGCCACATGGTCTATTACTGATGCTGGGATCAATAGTTTCCATGCTATAAAATCGAGCTCAAGTTCGATAATAAGAACCATGAAGACGCTTTTTAGGCCGGTTTTTAACTCCAGAAAGGCGAGCCATCGGAGCAGGGAGATTTCAGGGACGATGCGTCAAGCTAGCAGGCGAAAATGGGATCAAAAGAAGATGCCAACTCGAACATGGACGAGTTCAGAGGTCCCTCTTCTTCCTTATGCAAAATGGGTTTTTATTTCAAGAAATGTTAGTAAGGTTTTATATTGGCTCCAACTTGCATCAGCAACCGCCTGCGTGGTTCTCTCAATGACCAAGCTTATCCATCGAAATTATGGAGAAATCGAGAAAGGTGATACGGATAAGAGGAACAGGAAATCAGCTCTAATTATATTCTATTCCTTGGCCTTGGCTGAGGCATTGCTGTTTCTCATGGAGAAAGCCTACTGGGAGTGGAAAGTCAGCGTTTGGAGACTATTGGATGAGGTGAACAGGGAGTGCGATTTGGGACAATCTGGCATGATTTCTATCAAAAGATTCTTCTATGATGCCTATTCAAAATGTGTCAATGGAAGCATTTTTGATGGTCTGAAAATGGACATGGTTTCATTTGCCATGGAATTGCTAGGCTCTAATTCCCCCGATGAGCAGCTTATTGGAGCGAGAATCTTGAGAAAATTTGCTACAAGCAAGGTGTTTTCTGATGAGACTCTCCAAAAGATTGGAATAAATTTATCAGTTATGGAAAGATTAGTCGAAATGTTGAATTGGAAAGACCCTCAAGAAGAAGAGATCAGGTATTCAGCTGCAGAAATCTTGTCAAAACTGGCTGAAAAAAGGCAAAACTCGGTACGGATTGCTGGAATACCAGGTTCTATGGAGTCAATATCATGTCTTTTGCACGTCAGCAGGAGCCATGGTGGAGCAAGTGATGAAATATCTGAGAAGAGAATCATCTTCGATAATGAGAACTATGGTTCTTGGGCATTCAATCATATGGGGCTTCTCATTTTGAAGAAACTCGCTCGTGACCATGATATATGTGGAAAAATTGGTAACACGAGGGGTCTCCTACCGAAGATTATTGACTTCATGCATGCTGAAGAGAGGTTGTTGACAGATTCATCTGCTGCACCCTCTCAAATTTTAATTGTTAAACGATCTCTTCAGGTTCTCAAGATGTTAGCTAGCACAGCAGGCACTGCAGGAAAACAACTAAGAAAAGAGATTTCTGAGATTGTTTTCACAATTATCTATATCCGGGATATACTAAGGTATGGGAAGAAGCATCCCCAGCTGCAAATATTGGCAATCGAAGTCTTGACTAGCCTCGCAATGGAAGAGGATGCAACAGAGAGGATTGGTAGCACAGGCGGAGTTCTTAAAGAATTGTTCAATATTTTCTTCAATGAGGAGATGCCTGAGAATCAGAGTCACGTAAGAGTTGCAGCCGGGGAAGCACTTTCTATGCTGGTACTCGAAAGTAAGAATGATTGTCAGCGTGTTCTGAAATGGAGGATGAGTCAGAAGCTCGTTAAAGCTTTGGAATCTCCACTGCTTAGAATAAATGCAGCTAGAATATTAAGAAACTTGTGTGTGTATAGTGGAGAAGATTGCTTCGACCAATTAAAGGGACTCACTGATGCAGGACCTGCAGTAAGTTTTCATATCAACACTCTGTCTTCAAAAGTTATAACATCTAAAGTCCTCTTTACCTTGGAACGAAAGATTATTTCTAACTTCTCCCATTTTCAGGTCCTTCAAGCTATCATGAACGAAGAGAACAAATTACTCGAAGTAATGGTTGGAGTTGCAGCGTGCATTTTCAAATTTACGACATCTCAAGAAGCCAGCAACACGTTTAAGAGAGCTCGATTTCCAGAATCTGATCTGGCCTACAAACTTGTCCAAATTCTGAAGAATTATCAGTATCCTTCCATAAAAGTCCCAAACATAAGAAGATATGCCATAGAGTTAGCAATTTGGATGATGAAAGATAATGAGGCGAACATCCTAACTTTCACAAGACTGGGAATGGAACGTGAGCTGGAGTTCGTTTTGGACACGACTTCTGAGCTGGAGAGTTTTAATATCTTCTCCGGGAGTGTTGGCCTATGCAGGCACAGCACAACCATCCAAACACTAGTTGAAATAGCCATGAAGCTGCTGGCAGAAAACTAAAACTATAGAAACTCCAAAGTGCAATATTCTTGAAGAAACAGAAGTAAGAATTGAAGGCTATTCTTTAATTTTTCTCAAAGATGGAAGCATAAAACTACTGGGAATTCTTGATTCGTAATAATTTATCTGCACAATGCAAGAACAGATTTCGGTTTTTCTTATCATTGATTTGTAACTATATTATTTTTATTGTATATATTATAGATTATTTTTCAGAATTGCCCATGTGTTATGCATAAGCAGTAAATCTATTATTTAAAACCATCAGTTCAGGAGGCATGGTTCCTTCTCAGGATCAAGCGATTCTTCCTTCCTGGAAGCAGCATACAACTCACCATTGTACTGCACTCTCCAAGTGCTTAGTTTGGGGTTTGATTATTTATGTGATACGACATTGATATGAGCATAAAATTTGAGTTGTTGAAGTCCTCCTAGTGTAGATGCAATGCCCAGTGAAAACGATTAATGGAACTTTCACAATTAAATCTGGGCATCAACTTTACAATATCAAAAGAATGACAATAATTCCCCGGGAGAAGGCCCTTCTATCACCAATGGTAGAAGTGACCATATCATCTTCCTAATCGAATGGGAATATCATCTCTTAGTCTCTTATCGATCTCATACCTTATCTTCTTCCATGATACACAACATTCATCCATTCTGAAAGAAGTTGAGATCCCAATGACAGAACAATCCGTCTATAATATTAATCTTTGGGTTCTTCACGTCCTTCACAGCGACCCTCATGTAATGTCAGGCAAAGCCACGTCGGTTCGCAGGTGTCTGCGTATTGAGAGATTTCAGGATTCGGCCTGCGTAGAAAAACAATCCTTTTGTTCCGTTCAGGGAGGTTACTGCCAAATGAGACAATGGGTCCTCAACACATATAAGAAAATAGAGAATTGAAAATGTAATTCCTCCAATGGAGGAAGCAACAGAAGAACTGGATGAAGGCTTAAGCAATTACTTTATAGAGATTGATATTTACAATGGTTCAGCCTTACACATATTTATACAGTGAATGAGAAGAATCTAGAATGCTATACCTCTACACGAATAAAGCTAAGCAGCATGGTTTTAACAGAAAAGATGCTATAAAACTGATGCATGAACAGAAAGAAAAAATGATCCCAATTTGCTTCTATTGCAATGACGTCTCTACCCTCCTTTATCACCCTTCATTTGATGTCCTTTATCTTGCTGATCATCAGCTCGAATCTGCATCCCATATTTCAACACCCCCCCGCAAGATGGAGAGTGGATATCAATAACTCCCATGTTGTCCATGTGTTGGTAAAATTGGGAAGAGTTCAATGGCTTTGTCAAAATGTCAGCAACTTGAGAATTGCTGCTAAGATGTTCNTTTTGTCTCGTATCAAGTGGCAATCTAGCTCAATGTGTTTGGTCCTTTCATGGAAAACTGGATTGGCTGCTATGTGTAGTGCAAACTTCTTGTCACAGAACAGATAGGCAGCCTGTGGATGATTTATTCTCAAGTCCTGGAACAAGTATCTAAGCTAAGTAAGTTCACAACACACATTTTCCATGGCTCTATATTCTGCTTCTGCCAAAGACCTGGATATCGTGCTTTGCTTCTTTGATTTCCAAGATATTAGGGATCTTCCAAGCATCACGCAATATCCTGTGACACTTCTTCGTGAACCTGGACAAGCTCCCCAATCTGAATCACTGTAAGCATTGAGTTGCAAATCTGCATCAACAGGAAACAACAATCCTTGTCCTGGGGCTCCTTTTATGTATCTCAACACTTTATTAGCTGCATTCAAATGAGAAGTGCCAGGAGTACTCATGAATTGGCTTAATAATTGCACTGAATATGACATGTCTGGTCTGGTAATGGTCAGATATAATAACCTTCCAACAAGTATTCTGTACATGCTAGGATCAGAAAGAGGCTCTCCATCTGTCTTGGATATCTTCACATTCTGATCTAAAGGTATCCTTGTTGGCACACACCCTATTGTTCCCGAGTCTGCAAGTATATCAAAAGCATACTTTCGTTGGCAAATATGGATACCTTTATCAGACCTGGCTACCTCTATTCCCAAAAATTATTTTACCGTGCCCAAATCTTTGATCTTGAACTTCTTATCTAGTAAAGCCTTGAGAGAGTTAATGCTGTTCATATCACTACTAGCCACGATAATGTCATCAACATAGACAAGGATGGCAGTGAAGGAGCTCTCAGTAGATCTTGTGAACAAGCTGTAATCTGGCTTCGATTGAGTAAATCCTTGCTCAACAATGAAAGTTGAAAGCTTGGAGTACCATTGTCGGGATGCTTGTTTGAGCCCACACAAGCTTTTCAACAGCCTACAAACCTTTGAACGCCCTGCATTAGGATGGCCAGGAGGCATTTCCATATATACCTCCTCATCTAGATCTCCGTGTAAAAATGCATTATTCACATCAAATTGATGCAAATGCCAACCCTTTATGGCTGCAACAAGAAGTAGAGTTCTGACGGTTACAATCTTTGCCACAGGTGAAAAGATCTCATGGTACGAACTTGGTTCTGTGATTAACTAAGGTTGAAGCAAAAGCAAGACATCCAAAGACTCTAAGATGTGAGTAATTTGGCTTGTGTTTGAACAAGATTTCAAGAGGACTTTTGTTTTCAAGTAAAGGTGAGGGTGTTTTATTTATTAAATACACAGCAGTAAGGATGCATTTATTCCAAAACCTCATGGGAATTTCACTTTGGATTTTTAGAGCTCTTGCAACATTAAGAATATGTTGATGTTTTCTTTCTACTATTGCATTTTGCTGTGGCGTTTCAACACACGTTTTCTGGTGAATTATCCCCATTTTATGGTAGTATTCCTTCATTTCAAATCCCCCCCCCCCCCCTTTNTTAAAACCCCCCCCCCCCCCATTGTCTTTCCTAATCACCTTCACTTGTGACTGAAATTGAGTATTTATTGAGGCACAAAATCCTTGCAAAGCTGCATTAGCATCTGATTTGGTTTTAAATATATAGACCCATGTACATCTACTAAAATCATCAACTATGGATAGGAAATATTTAGATCCATCATAACTGGTTTCAGTGCAAGGACCCCAGAGGTCACAATGTATGAAATCAAAAACTTTCTTAGATTTGTGATGACTGACAGAAAATGACAATCTATGCATTTTAGCCATAGGACAAATAGAACAAGGTTCCTTGGTTAGCTTAGCATTGTAATGCACATTCAACGAATCTAATCTAGAGTGAGATGGATGTCCTAGTCTATAGTGCCAAAGATCAAAGTCTTTATTGATGTTAAATATGGCTGCTGGCATTGAAATTTTTGTTTTGAAAGCGAGAAAGAGCATCTGTAAAAGCTTAAGGAGGAACTTGAGATTGCATCAAATGATATAGTCCTTGCCTCACTTTACCCATTCTAGTCGTTTTCCAAGTCAAAAGGTCCTGCAAAAAGCATTTGTCAGGGAAGAATATCAGGCAACATTTAGAGGTTTGTGTCAATTTTCTAGCTGATATCAAATTGAAGGTAAAAGATGGAACACATAGTACATTATTCAGGATTAATTTCTCTGTGATTTTTACAGTTCCTGTGTGTGTGACATTAACCAGATCACCATTTGGGAGAGAGACCGAATAAGATACTTTGGCTTGAACGGTGCTATAAAATGAAGTGCAGCAGACCATGTGGTCTGTTGCTCCTGTATCTATTATCCATGGGGTGTTGGAACCCTTAGGCTTGATGTCATAGGTAGATAAGCAAGATGAGATACCAGATAATATGAAAATTTGTGTGTCTGCAGGGTTGCACCAGTGAGAGATTTCTTGTTTTGTGACTGCAATAGAGCTAGAAGTAGTGCATGCCGCTCCTGAGTGAATGTCACCTGATTGTCATTGTCTCCTTGTTCCTGCAAAGAAGTCAAGTTAGCATAGGCCTTTCCCTTTTCATATAACCTGTCCAGGAGGGCATCCATGAATCTTATAGCACTTGTCCACAGAATGTCCCGTCATGTGGCAGTGACTGCAGGTCAATTTGTTGGAATTAGCCTTGTTGTATCTCTCCAGTGAGTGTCCAGGTATCTTACAGAGGGTGCAATAGCATTTTCTCTCTCCCAATCCATTTTGCCTTGCTGTGTTATAGGAATTTCCTTGGTTGCCAACACCATAGAGTCAGGTATAGAACTATTTGCTGAGATTTGTCTCTTTCTCTCCTCCTGTTGAACTATGGAATATACTTCATTCAGTGTAGGGAATGGCTTAATCAACAGGATTTGGGCCTTTATTGCCTTGTACGAATCATTCAGCCCCATCAAAAACTTCATTACCCAGTCTCTTTGTTGGTTTTCAATGACGGATTTGAAACCTTGACAAGTGCAATTGGGAATCGACTCATAGTTCATCCACTCATGAAGGAGTGTTTTATATTTTGAGAAATACACACTTACAATGTCTTCATTTTGCATTAAGGTGGCTATGGACTATTTCACTTCATCTATCTGCGGAGCATTCTGTTGTCCTAGCTGATGTTCTAGGTCCAGCTAGAGTTCACGAGCCGTGTCAGCATAGAGTGTGCGAGATTTAATCTCAATGGACATGGTATTTCGCAGCCAAGCAATCACTATATCATTGCAACGCAGCCAATGTTCCATCAGAAAATGGTTGGAGCTTGCTGGTTCACTAAGAGTTCCATCGATGAAACCGAGTTTGTTTTTAATTCGAAGTACTCTCTTTATGGATCTTGCCCAAGCATAATAGTTGGTATTGTCAAGGACGTGAGTGACTAGTATTGCGCCTAAATTGTCGTTTTCCCCAATGTAATATGGACTGCAAAGATGGGTAGGGTTATTTATATTTGAAGTGTGATGAGTATTTGGTGTTGGGTTGACGTTATCATTTTCTTCAGTGCTTGGATTTGTTGTACCCACAGTGGCGCTTTGATTATCAGCCGTTGTTAGGCAATTTGTTGTCAAACGACCCCCCGGGCTATGATAAAACCCCGGTTCTATTATCAATCGACCTTGGCCATATGATTGATTTGTATGTCGACACAATTATCGAGACCACCCAATCCACATTCCTATGGATCGTTAGAAGCAACCTATTGTTAATAGTGTTGCTCACGGTTCATTCCATTTCCTTAGAGGGTTATGGTATTAATTTGAAGCCCATTATTTTGAGTCGAGCCTTGTTTGGTCCATTAAATAAACCTAACCTAACTTACCTTGTTTGGTCACTTGCTTGGCTTATATTCTTGGCCTCTCACTCGGCCTCCAAAATGAAGAACGTCTCATCTCTCTCTATGACTGCTTCTCCCCTTTCATATGACCTTTGTGATTTTCTT